GGCTGGGTACTCCGCACAATCTGAAACTCAGGCCCCTTTGATGAATCTTAAAATAGGCACCCCAAATTGCTGCCATTTCTCGAAGGAAAGTTCATATCTATCTCTTTGGTCCCTGTGTGTATATATTGACTTCATACACAAATATATGAACGTACGTGTGTGTGTGCAGATGTACTGCTGGATGTAGGCATGCACACACTTGCAGCTTTTAGGAGGCATCCTATTCATCCAACATGGTTGCTGTGGCATATCTGCTTCTGACAGGTGGGTGTTTATATGTTGAGGCCAAGGAGCTTGGGTAGTTCTTTTAGCTCTGGCATCAGTCTGCCGGGTTGCCTTGGACCTGTCTTTCTCCCTCTGAGCTTTAGTTCCCCCTTTTATAACTTCTTTCTTTTGGGCACTGCTTTACGATCAGCTGTTGAAATGTGATTATATGAAACCCAGTAATTGTTGTCATAGAACTTATTTTCCCACTGTGTTTATGTGTAGATGGTTAGTCAATAAATCAGTCTGGAATTGATCATAAATACTTACTTTATCTTCTATTCCTGAGCGCTGGAAAACAGCAAATAGTTCAAGAGTTATTAGTATATTCTAGTAGGGAATTATTTGCTAGGACAGCTAAGTCAAACTCCCGTCTGACCTGCGCTGAGGCTGAATTTGACATCAACTGTAGGATTCCTCTCGCCAAACTTTGGGTATGTTAGTGCCAGTCTAGGCTTCTGCTGCAGATGGAGAAAGACGAAACCCTCGGGACTACACTTTGTCCCTCCTCTTTTTTCCCTCTTTTAGGAACAAAACGTCCTCCATTATCTCTCTCCCTGGACTGCAGAGGGGACTGTGTGCCTGGCTTGCACTAGGCTCCTAACTTAATGAACTGATGTAGGTGACAGACATTCCATCCCTTTAGTCTTACGCAGTTAACTGCAGCACAGTTTGGTGTCTGGCAGATTAAGAAATATTTTCGGAAGAAGCTAGAGCCTTCAAAGTAATCTTGGCTAGAAATATTGATAAAACTTGAGTGTTATAAAAATGGTGTTAGGTACCTCATTAAGCACTAAATGTAATTAGGGTTATATAAGGATCTATATGAAACAAATATTGGACTGTACAAATAAACATTAAAGGTTTGATGAAGTAGCATGGGTGGTCTGGAGAATGAGGCGTAAAGAATCTTCTGATTTAATCTGTGGCAGAAGTAGGTTTCTCACCATAACTTAAGATGTGATCTGTTGTCAACAGTACTTACGGGAGCTTTCTGTGAAACAGCTAAGGCACCAAAAAATCTGGAGAGAGCTGTTTAGAACCATTCTAGAGTATTTTTTGTTATGGATCAAAAATTCTAGAAAAACTAGGAATATCCATGTGAAGTTAATGTTTCTCTCTCCCACCGCGCCCTTCCTTCACATTTCCGGGCAGAATCCCAGCTCCCAGTGCAGAGGGAAAGGTGACCTTCGATTGGTTGTTTTGAAACTGCCTCCTTATAGAATAAGCTTTAAATTCACCCTTTGAGGAGGGGAAGGTTTGAAGCACTCCACAGCATTACAGTGGCATTTGCTAGCGTGTTCCAAGGAACACCAGTCACCAGTCTTACTGAAGTATTTTTTCTCAGTGGGATTCACACTGTTCATTCACTCAGTTCTTTGGCAGCTTGTATTCTTTGGTAATAACAAGGTGATAATCAGTCAGGTAGAATTCCTATCCCTACTGAAATCAAAAGCAAAACTCCCACAGACTTCAGTGGAACAAGCAGCTTGAGAATCCTAATATTTAATGCTCTACTCTGCTTGTTTAAATGCTCCCAATTTCCTCGTTTGAAATGGACCAACTTTTTTACTAGGGCTGCAAACAGTATATTGCTTTTCTGTTTCCAAAGTGAAAGTAACTTTTCCTGTTTCCAAGGAAGATATTTTTGACTTACTAACCATGACCCATCCATACATTTCTGAAAGAACAGCATCTGTCATTAAGACCCAGGATGATCAAATGGGTTGGGACAGATTTCATACTAAGTGTACAGTGGCAGAGCCTTGCAGGGTCAAGACCAGGCCTACAGCTTCTAATGAAACTTCAGATAGACAAAACTGAAATTATACCATGGACTGAAATACAATTGCTTGCTGGTAGCAATTGAAACACAGTATGCTCACCCATAGCAAAAGGTCCTTCTACCTCCTAAGAATCTGTTTTACGAAAGAAATTATTTCTGAAAGGTGGGACTGAGAAGAATGGAAACAGTTTTCAAGGTAAAACTGCTGAATGTCCTGAATGGGCAGATAGGAACTACTAGGCATGAGGGGTTCCCAAGGCTTATCATCGAGAGTCTTATTCACCATATTGTTTAATACCATTCAGCAGTTACAGGCAGGTTGGCAGAGTTACAGTGATAATATTAAAAAATTGTAAGTTCTTTAAAAATTTGTGGAACGGGTGTCCCAAATTTGTGTCACTGCTAACAAAAAAGCTGCACCTCATTAGAGAGCCTACACAGCATGCTGGTATGGCTGTCTTAGCCATGGGAAAAGGCATGACCTAAATCCACATATTAAGAGACACAGGATAATTTGGTCACGACACAAAACTGCAGCAAGTCCGCTTCATTCATTCCTCTCTCACAGAGCTGCTTCTTTGCATTGTATGTGCAGATGTACAGACGACTCCCAGTCCCAGATGGACACAGGAAGCTTTAGCAAGAACAGTTGCACAGCTGTGTGACCTGTAAAGGTCTACTGTACATAGGCCAGCAGAACTATAGGTTTGTAAAGCATATACCTCTGGAAGATTTGCAGTGCCTGTCTGAACAATATCTGTTCTCTGGTCAGCATGTACAAGATAGCAGAATCCCATCTTGGAAGAGAAGTCGGAAGGGAAATAAAACAGGGAAATGGGAAACAGAAAAAGTAAGGTTTGTAAAGAAACCTGAGAAGGGCCCTCACTGGGTTGAGGAACTTTGTGGCTCGTTAGGCACTGATTTCAGTTGGTATAAGGCCATGCTTGAAGACTCACAGACCCATGGAGGTCAGAAGGGACCCCCAAAGGTCTCCCGTCTGACCTCCTGAATCAAGTAGATCCCATTGGAGCTGGTTGCTTAGGACCTTGCCTTGGCTGTGTTTGGACACTTCCAAGATTGGAGACTCCACAGCTTCTCTGGGTACCTGTTCCAATGTCCAGCCATCCCCATGGTGAAATTTTTTTTCCTTGTATTGAGGGGGAATTTGATGTTGCAACTTGCTTTCCTTATTACGTACTACACTGATATCCCCCCAAGTCTTCTCTTCCTCAGGGTGAACAAATGCAGATCTCTCAGCCTCTCCTCATGTGTCCTGTGCTCCAGTCCCCTGACCATTTTCTTGGCCCTGCATTGGATTCACTTTAGCGTGTCCTTGTGTGTCTTGTACTAGGAGCCCAAAATAGGACACAGTCCTCCAGGCATGGTCTCACAAACACAAGGAGAAGGCAAAAATCATTTGCCCCAGCCTGCTGGCTGCAGTCTTGCTAATATTTGGTTGATCAGGGATGTGCTGCTGATGCACTCATGTACTCATGTTGGAGTTGTGCATTGGGACCCTCAGGACTCTTTTGGCAAAGCCAGTTTGTATGTAGCAGGTTTTTGCCCAGCTTGTCCTGCTGCATGGGCTTGTTCCATCCCAGACATGGGAGTTTTCATCTGACTTTGTTGTACTCCCTGAGGTTTTTCTCTGCCCATTTCCCCAGCCTGTCTAGGAGACTCCACATAGCAACCTTGGCCGGCAGTGTATTGAGCTTTCCCTCCAGCCTGGTGTTATCTGCAGACTTGCAGAGAGTGCAAAGGAACCATATGCCAAAGTTTTTAATTGAGATGATAGGTCTTCTTCTCACGGAAAAGTCTTTACATCTTGTGAGCAGGATGTGAGGAGTTGCAAGCACAAGCAGCTTCATATTATAAGCTTATAAAATTCTGGTGAGAAATAACTCTCTCAAGGTCACTGCAGGTAGTCCTCTATTGCAGGGTGAAGTTAGCACCACTTTATCATGAGCCCATCATTGGATAGAGCAATGGAGGACAATTTCTTAAATGTTACTCTTCAGACTGTGTTTCAGGATGAGTCAGACTTAAGTATATAGACTGAGGGAGGGGAAACTGTATATTTTATATCTGGGACAGATCAACCATGTAAGACAGTCTTTAACCATTGAAGTAGATTTCACAATCTGAGTATAGGGGAGGAGTTTGCTTTGCTTTAGGTGGTCTGCTCTCCATCAGATGATTTCCAGTCTGATGTCACACCTGCATGATTTCTGTAATATGTCCAGACTATTCATTTCAGTGTTATTAGCTTCATTTTTGCTACCTGTTGGTTTTATGTACTGAGTTTTTAACCATTGGGATGTTGCCAGAACTGCCAAATTGTTCCCCTATTGTATGTTCACACTGACATTTCTTAGTATTTTCTGTCCCTTCATGGAAGGTTGTGGGAGCCCAGTAGCAATTCCCAAATCCCTAGAAGGTGATTAGCAATTATTGTTCTGCAAGTGCTTAATAGGGAGATTAAGACAGACCACCAGGTGTTTATGCAATAACACTCAGCAGCATAGAAATTCATTTCTAGCTATTACATAGTGTAAAGAGACTAAATGCCTGCCCTTTGAGAGGTCAGCAATTATTTTGATGCTTGTATTATATCTCATTTTCTCTAGCAGGTTGTGCAGTTCCATTATTTTTGAACTTTTCATTACCTGATAGGGGGTTATCTGTGTTTATAGTAGCAGGATTGATCTGTAACCGCAAATCAGTTTCTGTCAAAGATATTTTTCTTGCACAGGCAGTAAGTTGCAAAACCACATTTTTAGTCAGCCCCTTTGTATCTAGCATGGCATGTTTGTATACAGCAACAATGGAAGGGGGCTACGCTTCACATTGCAGGTTTGAAATAAGGGATAGTGAAATGGCTTAGGAGCAGAGTGAATGCTCTTCTGTAGCGAATCGTATCATTCACGGTGTCTTTTTTCTTCTGTTTCAGGAGGTTGGAAGCATTATCGGAAAGGTCAGGAAATTACTTTCTCTATTTTCATGTCAAAATATTGTATATCAGTTCACTTCATCAGCCCAGGCTAACTTTTTTTCTGTTTCTTTAACAGAAAGGTGAGACAGTTAAGAAGATGAGGGAGGAGGTAAGACAAGCCTTGATGTCTTTATTTGCCTTTCCAGCTCAGAGACCAGGGAAACTCAGCGTGTACAGACCGATACTGCCATCAAGTGGGCAGCTAATTTAACATCACCGTTTTTTGCAAGGGGTGGTGTATAAATGTACTGGCCTAAATTAAACGTTGTTAACGTAACCTCCTTATCGCAACAGCAGTCTGGAGTCTTACAGTCCCATAGCAATACGCCTGCTGTAGCCTTATCTCAGGAGCAGCTTAGCCAGCGTGATTCTGTGCATCAAAACCTTTCTATCTTTCTTCAGCATACCAACACTGGTCCTGCACGTGGCTTGGCCTCCTGGTAGAGAGCTTCCAAAATCTGAAACCAAGCATTAGACGGATGCTGCACAAAGTTTGAGGGTAGACAGAAGCTTCAGCAGAGCTGGAGCCAGACTTGCATAAGCCAAAGTATCCCCCTGCCATGTCTTGGCAAAGCCTTAACTTTTCAGTGTTTTGCAGCTGTGAGTAGGATGTGAACAGGGGAGACCTGCACACCCGCCATTCACATCCTTTGAAAAGGTTGTAAACACAAAAAGGCTAATTAAAACATGGCACTGCATAAACCTCAGTCTCCCCAGTGTCTGCAGGCTGCTTTCCCTGCTGCAGAGCAAGCTGCACTGTCTTCGGGGGATTGTGCCCAGGCAGAGGTTACAGACCCACACTTCTGCAAGGCATCATATCGTACCTGGAGATCCATGTAATTTTCCTTCTTGTAAAGCAAGCGCTAAAAGCATAAGCCAAAAAACAAATCCTACTGTTTAAAACTTCAGGAGTGCAAAGTACATAGAGGATGCCTCAAGTAAAGTCAGTTTGATTCTGGTAAATCTGCAGTACATTACGATGTCAGCTGCTTTGTTGTTTTATACACCAATAGAAGGTCTGGGGCAGGGAAATCTCAAAGTATTTGTGGTAAAGAAAATTGCTGAGATACATGTTTAAATATACAGAGTAGGGAGTTCATTGTCAGGCTGACTGAGTTCAGAGCTCCTTTTTTGATGATAAGAGCTTTCACCCATGTTTTCATAGATAAGTACATTTACTAAGACTTAAAAAAAAATACAAGAAAGAGAACTGTTTCCAGCATACTAGGTAATCCTGCCAGTTGATTAAACACATTGCATTTTAATTACTAATTGTGATCACAGGCAGATATCTTTGGATATAAATTGCATGCAGAAAAGGGAAGCCATCATTGCAGAGTGTTTAACTCTGAGTTAAACATCTCAGCGAGGGTTATGATCCCTGCTTATGGAATGTTCTTCTTCCACTCCTGAAAAACTGCTGTCATCTACATGTGGTCACAAGAGGCTTTATTTGTTTGGGTTTTTTTTTTTAATAAAGGAATTTATGCATTTTTATATCAGCACAGGACTTCAGTACTTCTTTAAAAGCAAAATGCAACTTTATTTTGACTTTCGTGACAGATGTGGCAAGTTGCATGCCTTCTTTATGGAACAAAATGCAACTCTTGTCTTGCTCTGTCATCAGAGAAGTGTCAGAGTCAACTTCAGACCTGAAGAAAAGTACAAAGACCTCGGCTCCATGCCCTGTGGTTGTTAACTTCCTACACAAATACTGGAGGCCACCACATAACATTTAAATCGCCGTAGCTCTGCTTTGACCGGTCATCTGTCAGAGGAGTAACCTCTGTGAATTTTGGCCGCTGCCCATCCACGGTGGAGCAATCTTTCACACGTCCTCACACAAGCTCCCGTGGCTCCAGTTTCAAAGGAAGAGCCATGCTTTGCTGTGGGACAGGCAGGCCTGCCGTGGGCAGCCCTGCCCGGCACGGCTCCTGGCGTGCGTCCTTCCAGGCTGAGCCCCATGGCCCCAGGTCCGTGTGGGGTGGCAGCAGCTGGATGTTGCCACCAGCATGAACAAGCCCCGGGCCCTGATCCAATGCCGGCGGTTGCTGAGGGCAAGTCTCACTCGGGGTGGCCTGTCGGAAGTGCCTGCTGCCCTTTCTTACCTGTGGACGCTGAGTATGGCTGCCTGCTGAGTCCGTGGCAGCAAGATGTTCCTATCAGTAGTGTTGTGGGGTTTTTTTCTTCTTGTGCTTGGTTGCTGCCATAGCAGGAAGTAGGATATCTTGCACATGAAGAAGGGCTCAGACAGGCAGCACATCAGCTGGTTTGTGGTAGCGCTGAAGGCAAAGGGCCAAGTTAACCCAGACTATCTCACGTTTGCTTCAGGCCCAGATCCTCGAGAAGGTCAGTGCCTGTGGATGAGTTGAGGCTCCAGTGACTTGTTAGGCCGCATGAACACATTTCCATGCCTGAAACCTCAGGGAAAGCGTAGGGTGGGTCTTACCGGAATGGCTTTGATCGTTCCCTGCACCAAGATGTTCTTAAGTATATTTACATCTAGTTTAGGGGTTTCCTCTGGACTGCCACAGTGACGTAAAGGGGACTAAGTCATGTTTAGTCATGCTGACTTGTCTCCAAGACTTAGGGTTTTCTAACTGCTTCCAGCAGGCTCCTTGCCTTAAGGAGGTAACACCCTTGCCGTTGCCTGTCCTACCACTACTCCTTTAAAGTGTTGTTCAGTGCATAATTGCCTGCCTTTACATGAGACACGTCTGCAAGGCACCTTCTTCACAGTGCAAAGCAATGCCAGACAGATCCAGCCCTGCCTTTGGCTCCCCGGGGCAGAGAGGTGCGTCTTTCCTGGGAGATGTCGATGCTCCCTGGAGACAACCACCTTGTCTGAAGTTCTGCAGCTCCGGTCCTACTTCAGGTTAACCCTGCAAGAGGGAAAGGAAGAGACCTGATTATGCCATTATTTGCAACTTTGGGTTACGGAGGAGCTGTTTGCATACTGCAATGAAGGCTGCGGAAGTGTTTATCCAGACAGAATCCAGCTTCCCGCAGCTACATGAGTGTTTGGAGTGTGATCAGTTTATACTGAGATTATATGATGTTGGGGCTGCAGTTGTAGGGGTGGGAATTAGATGCCTCAAGATATTCCTTCCCAAACTATATCCCTAATCCTACTTAGTTTGCTCCCTGGGAAGTATAAATTTGAGAAATATTTGTTCTTTTTGACAGAGTGGTGCGCGAATCAATATTTCAGAAGGCTCCTGTCCAGAGAGAATTGTGACAATAACAGGCCCAACAGATGCAATTTTTAAAGCTTTTTCTATGATTGCACTAAAATTTGAAGAGGTAAGCAAATAGAATATGGTTTTTTTCTCTCTTCAAGCTGAAATACAAATACTGTTTGAATTTTCTCATGTTTACTTTAATGTTAAATATGATTTGTTTAATGTTCTATTTAATAGCAATGAAAGTGGTTATATCTTTATAAATGCTTTTGGCAGTAATGCTGAAGAAAAATAATGGGTCAATTTACAAGCTGTTTGATCATTTCTTTTGCTTTTTGGAGGCTTCAGGGAAAAGCAATTGCTTCTAGTAATGTGCACTAATGGTAGGAAAAATGTCTTGGAAAATTTCTGGTCCCATTGTGGGTTTGATTTGAAAAGAATAATTGCCTAACTTTTGGCTCTGTTTTTATATCACTCTATTTGGTATTGATATAGATTTTATATATGTCAGAATAAATATATAATTCATTCAATGAGAAAATCTTTATTTTAAAACCAAACTATATGATTACCAGTTACCACATTTAAAGCTTGGCTTTTAAAATTAGTTAAAATAAAGGTACTAAAGTAAGTGAGGCAAGAGAGCACTCAATTTACTGTAGAATTACAGTTCTGTGCAGATACATACCTGAAGTGCTGGGATCTCTTCAAGTTTCATGGACCAACTATGATTAGATATGGTCACCACTTTAACAAGAAACCTCACAGAAAAGGCAACAGGCTACAGAACATGAACCCTGGTGACTCAGGAGAGGATTTAACTCCCTCAACTTTCAAAAATTGGATGTCCAGTCCAGGCATCTCTCCTGTCCTCTGTGGAAAAACAGAAGCCCCTGCAGAAGGCAGTTTACCTTCTGCTAAAGGAGAGCCTGAAGATAGGTGGACTGAATCACCTGCAGCAGGAGAAAAAGGCTGTGTCTCTGCCTCAGTAATTAAACTAAGGGGATTTGGATCCCTTTCTTGTGAGTGCTTATTTCTCCAAATCAGTGAGGTTAGTTTTCACATCCCCCCATAGCACTGGGAGATGCTGGCATTGATGGGAAACATCAGCATGTGCCTTTATTTATACGTGGTTATTGTTCACATTTAGAGTAACAGGACCAGAAGAGAGCTTGTGGGTCATCAGAGGCAGTTGTCTTCTAGCATAAGCAGTATGTCTGGCAACCTCCTTCACAGCATGATCAAAAATTAGTTAGATTTTTTTCCTACTTTTTCCTGATATTGGATCCACAGCCTCAGTGCTTTGATAATTACACACCTCTTCACTCCTCACCTACATTTATTTATGAGCAGTTTATACAGCTTTGTTCCTGTGCCAGCACTGGCTATTAGTTTAAATAATTCTCACCTTCCCATCCCTGAGGATTCCCCTCATAGACATATTTTTTAGAAACCCGTTATAGCCCCTCACACTCTTTGCTTTTGCCAGTGTAAGTGAGCCAAGCTCAGTCTTTCAGGGGATGCATTCCCCATCCCTCTCATGGCGCTAGTAGTCCCTTCCTACCTTTTCCCAGTTACAGTTTGTGTTAAATGCATGTGTTAATTGCGGACACATTGCAAATGACATATTTAATTGTGCTACCAGTCCTCTGTCCTGGCTACCACGCTAATATATCCCTACCGCTGCTGGAAATGCCTCACCTCCTACTAGCGTAATGCTTTGCACACAATCATGCCATGCCTGGCGGGTATCCCCAGCTCCTGCTCAGGTGTTTTCAGTGGGAACCTCTTTGGTCTCAGCAGACATTCCTGTCAGCCCCCAGACAAAATTACCCTTTTTTTCATACTACAAATGTTCATCCCATTTATATTTCTCCAATCCTTCATGGGATTTCAGATCTTACTTTGTGGTGTTGCAATCTTTCAACATGTTGAGAAAGTACCCTGGTTTTGTGGCATGGTATATTTTATAAGAATGCTGATTTTTTTTTCTTTACCAGTTATTAATGAGATAATAATGATTTTGAGGTTGAATCCTGCAGAACTACACAAGTAATTCTCTCCAGCCCAATTCTAAAACGACCTGTTGTCATCTTCTTCTCAGCTTTAACTCCTACCCATCTTGTACCAGTCCCTGTTTCTTCTAGCTTAAGAGGCAGCTTTGTGTATGGTACCATACCCTCCAATCCAGAGGGACCTTGGAGAGAGAGCAGTCTCTCTGCTCTCTACACAAAAAACATGCTCTGCTTAAGGACTTCTCCTGAAAAATGTTGAGGGAATCATTAACAGAGATAATCCCTGCCAGTTCCCACCAAAGCGAGTACCCAGTGGAAATAGTGCTGTATTTCTCATGAAAACACCAAACACTGCTCAGCATCAGATTCCCACCCCACCACCCAGCACCACATTGTCTTTGAAAGTGCTGTAGCTAGCAATAGGCAAAGAAATCTGAAATTCAGGCGTCTGACTGGATTTTATGCATCTGGACCCTTGTAGATTTTAGGGGATAGTCTGGACTCTTCATGTGGATATTAGCAAAGGGGTATTGGCACTCCCTGCAGATAAGGTACATTTTGAAACATCTGTACTTAATTTTAATATAACTGGCTTCTGGTATATTTAAAAGAACGGTGGTAAAGAGAAATGTCTCATATAATCAGTTAGGTTTCCTGTAATTATTCCTGTCAATAAAATGAGGTAACTGTAACACTTTGGAGGCAAAATTAAGTGCTGTTTCAGAAATTACAAATGAGCTAGCTACCAAATGTTATTTTTCAGGCATATGTTTTCATTGGAGATTTCTTCAGCCATTTAGAAAATTGAAAATCCCAGATCAGATAATGCCTGGCCCAGCTCTGGTTATTGCAGCTACCTTCAAACAGAACAGAAGAGGTGCATGTGTGAGACGACTGATGGATTGAGGGATTTTGTTATGCATGCCCACATGAAGCATTTTGACATGAAGCCCGTGAACCCTTAATTTCAACCCTACAAATGTATAGCTGGGGATAAGCAGGTGTAGGAAGATACGAGAGCCCTGGAATGTTTTTCTAAGTGCTAGCAAAAATCTCAAAATGTGTCAGATAGATAGAAAAAAAGAAAGATCTGGAGGAGTGTTCTATGTGTAGTTGCTCTGCAGCCTTATCTCACTCTGCTTTGACAACCTTCCTAATAAAAGTTGATTTTCTAGCAACCTGATGATGAATTTACAAGCTAGGTAGGTAACTACATAAACAACTAAAGTATACACTGCAGAGGAAAAAGAGAGTTATTAAAAAATGGCACTAACCCAGGCAGACCACTGGGGTTTCAAGAGAGTTCTTTTTAGAGCAGTGATGTCCAGACTGGAGGCTGAGACCCAAGAAATGCAGCTGTAAGTTCACTGGTGAGTGGGGCAGCTCTGGTTTCGGGTATAAATATGCATAATCCACTGGAAGCACGTGGTGTTTTAAGTATTGGAAAAAACAGCAGGCAGAGCTCAGTGGTCAGACTTTCTCCAAATAAATAAGAAAAGATTGGTGGAATCCTTCTTCATTTGCAAACATTTATGAAGAAGTTGCTCAGCTCTAGGAATGAGGAGAGAAAGGCAAGGTGATAAAAGCAATTGAGATGATGCCCTTTTGACAAATACTAACTCCTCCTGCTACGACTAAGGTAAATCCTGTGGTGGTCATTACCAAGTGAGGAACCACCTCACAGACTCGTACTTGCTGTGGGAATTGGCAGGTTTAACATTTCGTTTAGAAGCCAGTAAAGAAGAATTTTGATACATATTTCCCCAGAGGTTTGGTAGATTTCTGAGTTGCCAGGTTTGCTTGCCTTGGGATGACAGGAGCTAGGGGTGTTGCAAGGCTTCAACACTGGGAGCCGGCTTTCCCACCACCTCCAGGCTCCCAGTTAGCCCATCCTGGCTGAGGAGCAGTCCAGACAAGCGGGCAGAAAGCCATGCAAGGTCCAGCTCTAGTGTCTGCCAGAGCCCCGAGGAAATGGATGCGGTGCCACAGAAAGTTAGAGGTTAAAGAAATAAGAATCTCCCAGTTTGAAACACGACTGTTCTGTGAAAGTCTCCAGCCAGCCCTACTTGGGAGCCTGCAGTGCTGGAGGGGATTTTTTTCTGCTCATTTCTCTTTTGTTGTGTTTTTTAAGCTGGACTAACTCCTTTATGCACTCCACACTGCTGAGCCTGTGTGTTTAGGTTTTGCTCTTTTTAAATGATGAGGAGAAAATAAAGAGCGGCTTCCGATTTTTGTGAGGTGCTTTTCAAAGCATTAAGTGCAGTGAAGGCTTTGAGGCCAGGCCAGGTATGATATGGAAGTGGGAGACATTAGCAGGGTCATGCTGGGTGGCTGAAGAAGTTTTATGTACCTGCATCTGGACTATCATATGCCTCCACCTGATACAAACATGATATAGCGAGATGTCATCTTCCAGCTGAAAAATTAGCATGACTTGCACTTTATTTCAGATACATGGCTGCTGCAAAATTCTGTTATCCCTCTCACTTTATTTTGGATTGCAATCTCTCACTGACACAGGCACTAGACGAAATGTGAGTTACTGGCTGGCAGAGGAATGATTAGATAGCTGTCTTGTGGCATGCAGCAATGCCTCATTCCGTTCAAGGGGGTTTTTTTCCTTCTCTTTTAAGCTAAGGAGAGTGACACTGAGCCATTTCTTGGACAGAAGAATGCTGCCATCACAAATGGAGAGATACTGCAGGAACCAGTGCTGGTGTCACTGAGCTCCTGCACCAGTTCAACAAGGCGTGCAGAGCTGTTTAAAGTACTACTTTTTTTTTTTTTTTTTTTTAATT